ACCGCAGGAGGGGTGGTAAGGGATGGGGAAGGCAATTGGTGCAGCGGTTTTGCGCTTAATATTGGAATATGTTCAGCACCGCTAGCCGAGTTATGGGGAGTCTACTATGGCTTATACATAGCTTGGGAGAGAGGTATTACATGCTTGGAGGTAGAGGTTGACTCTGAGATGGTGGTAGGTTTTCTGCGGACAGGGATTGATGATTCACATTCGTTGTCCTTCCTGGTACGCTTGTGTCATGGCTTCTTATCAAAGGACTGGTCGGTCCGGGTTTCACATGTGTATAGGGAGGCCAATCGTCTTACAGACGGATTGGCTAACTATGCGTTTTCTTTGCATTTGCGTTTTCATTTGTTTGCGTCATGTCCTGAGAATATTAATTTGCTTTTGTTGGAGGATATTAACGGATCTGCGCACCCTAGAAATGTTCGTTTGTAGTTTGTAATTTCTTTTGAATAAAATGGGGGCTTTGCCCCCTCCATTACCAAAAAAAAAAAATAAAGAGACTTTTAAAAGCAGTGATTCATAATTATAACGATTCTGTCGAAAAAAATAAAAAAATAAAATCCACAATTTATAACAAAAAAAGAATAATTAAATTCCAAAAAGAAATGGTTAACCAAAGCGTATTAACGAATTAAATTGGACATTTATATTTTGCAACCTTCCCTTGGACGCAAACAATACTCTCCTTTTTTTTTTTTTCTCAAGAAAGCTTTACACACCAAACCTTCATCTTCTCTCTCACACTAACAACACTTCTTCTTCTTCCGACTATGGATAAGAAGCACGGCTTGTTCTCCAAGTCTAATTCCCGGCGATCACGATCCAAGAGTCCTGTCAGAAGCGTCTCTCCGATCATCATCCGTCGCCGGAAAGGTCGTTACGTCTCCCAACCGGACCGGCACATGTCTGAGATGCTTGCTCCGGTTAGAGAAGGTCCTGATCCAGACGGTGAAGACTCCGGAAGCAGTGGAGATTACTCTAGGTTCGAGAGACGTTGGTACAATTGGATGAAATGTCAGCTTCCGGTGGCTCCGCCGTCAGTATCGTCGTCTTCGGATTTCAAACGAACGGATCTGAGGCTTTTGCTCGGTGTTCTTGGCGCACCTTTAGGTCCTGTGCACGTTAGTGCTCTGGATCTCCTTCCACACCTCAGTATTAAAAATACACCTATGGTGAGCTCTTAATTCACTGTTTTTCCTCAAAAATTAGGGCAGTGTTGTAGTTACTCGCGAGGAATTAAGCTCTTCTGCGCCACAATCTAGCTTGAATTTAGCTGAATCTTCCTTTGGTTTCATAAAGGCTGCGCAATTAATTGAGTTTTTTCTCTGCTTTAATGTTCCTTCTTCGTCAATTCTGATTCTTCTGCTTTATGTGAATCATGTATAATCTGAGACACATTTATGAATTGTTGTGTCAGTGTCACTGTGTTGAGGATATAGTCTAATGACTGTTACTAAATGCTTGAATTTTCAGGAGACCTCCTCTGCTCAGTACATACTTCAGCAGTATACGGCTGCATCAGGTGGTCAAAAGCTTCATAGTTCTGTGCAAAATGGTTATGTTATGGGAAGAATCAGGACGATGGCCTCGGAGTTTGAGACTGGCTCAAAGGGTTCTAAGAGCAAGAATAATTCGTCAAAATCTGTCGAGTCTGGAGGGTTTGTGTTGTGGCATATGAATCCTGATATGTGGTACATGGAGCTTGTTCTTGGTGGGAGCAAGGTTCTTGCGGGTTGTGACGGGAAGCTTGTGTGGAGGCACACACCATGGCTTGGGCCTCATGCTGCAAAAGGACCGGTCAGACCATTACGGCGTGCTCTTCAGGTTAGGATTCTGGTCCCAAGGAAGCCTTCTCATGCATTTTTCTCTGCTTGCATAACTAAATTGTTACTGTTGTCAATTTTCAGGGACTAGACCCGAGAACTACAGCGTATATGTTTGCAAATGCAAGGTGCATAGGAGAAAAAAAGATTGATGGAGAGGACTGTTTCATTCTCAAGCTATGTGCAGACCCAGCAACACTCAAAGCTAGAAGCGAAGGGGCATCAGAGACCATAAGGCATACTTTGTTTGGTTACTTCAGCCAAAAAACCGGTCTTCTTGTTCACTTAGAAGACTCCCAGCTAACCCGGATCCAAAACAATGGAGGTGAAGCGGTTTACTGGGAGACGACCATCAATTCATACCTAGAAGACTACAAACCTGTCGAAGGTATCATGATAGCTCACTCCGGTAGATCTGTGGCTACGCTTTTAAGGTTTGGAGATATGTCATCAGGACATAACACTAAGACGACAATGCAAGAAGCATGGGTCATCGATGAAATCGCATTCAATGTCCCTGGCTTGTCTATAGATTGCTTCATTCCACCTTCTGAACTCAGATTTGATTCCCACGTTGAAGACTTATCTCAAGGCCCCAAAATTAGGACATTGCACGGCCATAAAAATGGTTGATGTGAAGAACCAGGAGATCAATGTGTATAACTCATTCAAAAACAAATCCTAGATCGGTTAATTCTACATTTGCTATCGTCTAAGCTAAAATTCTTGTAGGGAGTTTCGTTGAAGATGTAAATAGACAGCAGGAGAATTTAGTTCTTTTTGCCGCATAATGTTAGGAATGTGTATAGTCTCTATTCGAGGGCTATTTTCATTATCAACTTAGTAAGGTCAGTCCAATCTTATTTTATGATATAGTTTCATAGACTATATAAAGAATTTAACTTGGTCGTCCATACCAACTGGAACTTGTGAATGCGATCTTCCTTGTATTGTATATCGATAAATTCAAAGTCTGAGTGTAGTTTCTATTGTAGCACACAAACTAAATGTTCTTGGGCTGTATGTATATCAATAATGTATGATTTGTCATTGCTCCAATTTAAACTCGATAATTCAAACCAGTTTCTTTCTCATTAGTTTACTCCAAAAATGGTGATAAATACATCCGTTTGTCCGTTACAACCATTCAAAATCTTTTAGTGAGTTTGGATTTCAAATACTGTATGGAGGTTTGTATCTTTACAAAGATGTGATGTGACATGAGCATTTTCGTTATGTCGAGTTCAAATACCGGAGTTTCACAGCGGAAATGACAGAATAATTTGCATATGGATTAATCCATTTGCTTTGCTCACTAGATCGTTTTTTTTTTTTTTTTTTTTTTTTTTTTTTTTTTTTTTTGACAGCAAAATAGGTTCATCCATTCAAGCTAGAAACGGACGGTTTTCTTCTGGAGAAAACCAGACCGGTAATGAACAGCTTACACGGGAAAAGATAGAACCGCGTGATCGTGCCTTTTTTGCGAGACAGTCAGCACGGGTATTGTTACAGCGTGGGATAAAAGATAACATAAAAGAGGGAAAAAGAGGCTTCAACGAGCTAAAATCTGCTAACTCCGAAGCAAAAGCAGGCCACTCATCGGGAGTGTCTAAGACTTGAGTTAACTCCAAACAATCTGTTTCAAAGACAACATCAAAAATAGAGAGTGTAGTAAGCGACCTCATTGCCCAAAGTAAGGATTCAAACTCCGTGTGAAGCGGGGATAAACACCGACGAAAACTCCTTAAGCCAATTTGCTGCATATTTCCATTTGACTCAACAATCCAACCAATACCACTCAGGGTACAAGACTCCACCCAAGATCCATCTATCCGGCAGATAATAGAGTCATTCGGATGATGATCTTGTAGAACTGGTCCCGGTTGGGGATTAAGGATCGTTTCTCGGGCTCTAGCTACTCGAAAAGACTCGGCCTCCTTTAAAGCATGTTGAATCGTGTCAGAAGGATGAATATCCGTATTCTCAAAAACTTTTGAGTTGCGTGCCTTCCATATGAACCACATGATCCAGGGAAAGTTCCTTAAGGTCTCCTCTCGTCCTCCTAACTCCTTGGCTCTCCAAAAGAGGTAGTCTAGATTCGTAAACAGGGACCGTGAAGGGAAGACGTTCGGGATAATAGGAATTTGCGAAAGCGACCAGGCTTGAAACGCAGGGGGACACTCGAAAAGGACGTGGTTAATGGTCTCTTCAAATGTTCCACACTTGGGACACGTACGATCCGTGCCTAGATGTCGAACAGCTAAACGTTGGCAAGTTGCCAGGCAACCCGAGGCGGATTGCCAGATGAAATGTTTAATTTTTCTTGAGGTTGGAATCTTCCACGAATGCGCCTGAAGTGCCGTAACACTAGGTCCCTGAAAAGGGAGGTCGCAATCTCCTCTGCGGCATGCTTGCGCAGCCAGATAACCTGTCTTAACGGTGTAATTCCCAGACTTGGTATGAGACCAGATAAATAAATCTCTCGAGAATGACGAACTCGGATGCAGGCCTAGGATAACGGGGACATCTTCTGGTAAGACAAGATCTTGCAATTTGTCTACCTTCCATCGTTTTGACACGGGATCGATGAGGTCATTTACGAAGAGGTTAGGATCTGGATTGGCGAGCCTACTCTTGGCTGGGCGAGCCGGTATGGACGGAATCCATGGATCAGACCAAACTCGTGTATCAAATCCTGAGCCAATATTTTTCCTCAACCCTGATAGAAGGAGAGGTCTAGCCACCAGCATACTGCGCCATCCATAAGAGGGTAGGTAAGACGGTTTGACAGACAACGGGCTGGAGTACTTGAAATAACGTCCTCTCAAGACTCGAGCCAACAAAGAGTCTGGGAAACGAACCAGTCTCCAAAGCTGCTTGGCGAGAAGCGCTAGGTTAAAATCTTCAAACATTTTGAACCCCAATCCTCCCTCCGAAAGTGGCGAGCATAGTTTGTCCCAAGCAATCCAATGAAGTCCCTTACTTTCTTGTTTATTGCTCCACCAGAAATTAGAAATAGCACTACTCAGCTTCAATGAAGTCCCTTACTTTCTTACTTTCCTTCTACCAAAGAATATCCGATCGTTTTGTTTTTTTTTGGGTAAAAGTGACCAAATTGTTTTTCAGAAAATCCTTTTGAAAGATAAGGCCGGTTCGTTCATTAGTTAACCGGTTCGATTGAATTGGTACGTCGCTAAAACAAATCGTCTTGTTCACCTTTCTTCTCTTGCTTTTCAGAGAGCGTGCGATTTGTAGGAGGTAGAGAGAGAGAGAGAGCAAGCTACCAGATTCACCGATTACGACCAACAAACAAGGTATTATCGGGTAATTCAGATTCAAAATTTCTGCTAATTGCCTCTATCGATTCCTAAACTAATTTCTTTCATGTGAAGATCATTATGGTGCTCTCTGACTTCACTGGAGTCGGTGTTGGATTTGGTAATGCCCTATTGGCTATTGTTTTCTCCTTTTAATTTGGATTGGAATCGTAAATTTTGTTAATTGGAATTTATATATAGGGTTCGGTGTTGGCTGTGGATTTGGCGTTGGATGGGGTTTTGGAGGTTCGTTCTCCACTTCTCTCTTTCTTACTTTACTTGAATAAAATCCGAACTGAATTACAAGTTAATTCCATCAAACTAGATTCCATTTTGATCTGCTTGTTTAGTTTGGTGATCATATCGCGGAATTTCTCAGTACAGATTATCTTCTTCTACATATCATCATCATCATCATTCAAATGCTTCTCTTTCCTTGCTAATGCTTGCTTAAACGCATGCCTAGAGTCACTTGCGCTTACATTTTGATGGATTCATACTATTTGCAAACCTACTGAATTGAAAATCTCTGTTGCTTTCTTGCAGGAATGCCTTTGAACATTTTAGGTGTTGGTGTAGGTAAGAATTTCAAACACATTGGATTATACACAAGCAGGTATTGCGAAACTCATCGTATTGTTTTTGATGAAGGTGGCGGTTGCGGTGTGGGTTTGGGCCTCGGGTGGGGTTTCGGGACTGCTTTTGGGAGTCACTACCGTTCATCTAGACTTACATTTCAAGGCATCGAGTTAGAGACTACCGATAAACGCGATGAGAAAGTGGCTAACATGTCCTAAAACACCACTTAAGCAGCCGTGCTTCAATGCTCTGCTCGGATTGATTGTAAACAAAGTCTTACATCTTTTCTTATATTCTCAATGAAACGATTACTTCTTCAAATAATCCAATAAAAATGCATTTCTCTATTCCGAATTGTTATTTTCACAATGTTCCACTTCAATTTTGGGTTTGTAGTCCCATATAATTCTACAATGTTTAGTAGGATTTGGTCCTAAGAAAACAAGTGATTGCTCAATGAACCCGTTTCAAATAATCGAACCAAAAAATGCATTTCTATATTACAAACAACAAAAAAAAAAAAAAAAAAAAAACAGTGGAATTTACTGTACAGTAAAAATGTGGATTCCCAAATTCGTCTCTTTCGCTGTTACACATAAGATGAATGAACTCGAACCCTGCTATTCCAAACCTGTCTTCTACATTGAATGCACTGCGACTACCACTGCAACAACAAAAATAGGTCATCTCAAAACTCAAAAGTGATGCAGTAAGCTTTGCGCTCAAAAAATGCATGATTCAGTAAATCTTACCAATAAGAAAAACTAAAAGAATAATCCATATTGCAGCGTGAACCGATTTACTATATCGCATTCGATACTGAGACCGTTGAAGTTGCCTCTGTAGAGCTCCATACCAACCGTGAAGCTGCTTTTCATAACAGTCCTCCTCACACTCCATACAACTCTTGCCCTTCTCTAGACTTCCATTCATAACTTGCTGAGAAACAGAAAGAGAATTTTTTAGCAAGGACTTTTAAAGCAGGAGGAAACATCTTGCGGTTGGAGATCGATCAAACTTACTTGGTTAGCTTGGATAGGTAATAACGCAGCATCGGAGTCTCCTTGACGATCTAAAGCCTTCCACTTTCGATTGCAATGGTTGGACCCAGGATCCATATAATTTAAGAACCCAGAGAAGCTAGGTACTTTCCTCGGAGGTCGAACCACTGGTTCATCAGAAGATTTCTTCACTAAACCATCATCAGAAACCGCAATGTTCCAAGCAGTGAATTCAGCAGCACTAGCCGTCCTTCTATGTCCATTCGGATTTGCTTTGACAGATTCAGATGGTCCAGTCAAGAAGAGAGCAAGCTCATTACGATCATCTTCATCCAAACGAACCCATCTCGGAGTTCCTTTGCCATCGGATTGCGCAGCTTCCTTGAGAGACTTTTCGATTTTCGACACCTGAGCTTCCATTGCGAAAGTAAACTCACGATGCCTATCTCTAGTCTCATCACTCAAACGATTGTCATAGCTAGATTTGACAGCTTTTTGGAATTCATCTAACTACATCCAAGAAGATCACAGTTTCACAAATCAACATTAACACATACAAATTATAATCGAGTTCTGAGGAAAGAAAGAAACCTGCCATTTGGTGGTTCCAAGAGCAGCGTGAAGATCTCTATGAAGCTGCTCAGAGTCCCATACATTTGAAGAGTCTCGTTTCCCATTGATCCATGTCCTGTACGCTGACTCCATCCTACACATGAATCGAAGATATTGTGAGATTTCAGATCTAAAACTTGGATTAATCAGACTCGTAATCCCAAATCTGAAGCAGCACGAATCGAATCGTCGACATTGCATCACCAACAATGAGAGTTTATAATTTCACAGATTCAAAACAAAAATTGCGAGATTAGGATCATAAAAACGCAAACCTGTCGGCAGATTCCTGAACTTCTTCAGCAGCGGGAAAGAAAGGATCTTTCTCCCACCGATCCAAACTCGTCGTCATCACTTGAGCAGAAAGAAACCTAATTTCCTAAAAATGAGAATCCTAATCCTTGGAAGACGAGAAGAAACCCAGAAATGGAGGAAAATGGATCGAGAAAGATTTCAGAGAAGAGAGGGAACGTTCATCGATTTAGCCAAATTACGGCCTTTCGTTACACACACGTGGCGAAATTAGTACTATTAACGTTTGGTTTACTCAATCTGGTTCTCAATAAACCGGTACGGACTCTCTATTGTTCGTTTCTCAGATTATGTTTTTTTTTTTTGGTTTGATTAACGCTTTATGACAAAATAATTTATAGAATGAACTAGTAATCAAAAGTATGATTAAAGAAAATATATGCGATATATCATACTTTTGATTACTTACCTTATACGCAAACTTTTCATTTCACATTTAAAATTTTCATCAATATTATTCATGTTATAATCATTTTATTACAGTTCCACTGTTTCCTCTGGAACATATGTGTGATAACTGAATAACTGATATGTTCTAATCAGATCAATGGATGGTTGACGAGTCCCATACACATCTTAAATTTGCAAGAAATAAATGTTAATTTTCTCGCTTTCACTCTAATGATGATCAAATACTCCTGTTTTCTTTTACTTTTACAAAAAAAATTTGAGCCTGCAAAATGAATAATAAAAAATCATGCAGCAAATTAAAAGTGTGGGAAAACAAATCATGCGAATGAGACCCATCACCTGAAACACCTTCTGGTGAGTCACCATATACGCACCTCTCTCTCTACTGGCGCGGACTTGCTAATAACCATCTCTCTGTTATGTCCCAAGTTATATAAATAGTAGTGATGTGTGTGTGAGTGGCTGTGTATTCAATCACACAAGTCCTTCTACTTACTTTCTCAGATTTTAACTAAACAAATTGTGTCGCTAAGAAGAAGAAGCCATCATGGCTAGAGTGATGTTGTGGTTTCTTGTTTCCTTGTATCTATGCCTCATTGGTCATATGATTGCCGAGGCTGCAAGAGAAGGTGCGTCCATGAAGAAGGAAGCACACTCCACTGAGATTGGAAGAGAAAGTGCGTCCATGAGGAATCAAGCACGCTCCACTGAGATTGGAAAAGAAAGTGCGTCCATGATGAATCAAGCACGCTCCACTGAGATTGGACGAGAAAGTAAGCTCATGAGGAATGGACCACACTCCAGTGCTCAGATTGGAAAGAGTATGGGACACGTAACCGGATTTAAGGGTGAACTCACAGCTGGTGGCTATGGCGGTGGAGGCCCGGGATATGGTGGTGGTGGTGGATACGGGCCAGGTGGTGGCGGTGGTGGTGTTGTAATCGGTGGTGGATTTGGCGGTGGTGGTGGGTATGGGTCCGGCGGTGGTTTGGGTTGGGATGGAGGCAACGGAGGTGGTCCGGGATACGGGTCAGGTGGTATTGGTGGTGGAGTCATCATTGGCGGTGGTGGTGGTGGTGGATGTGGCGGTTCATGCAGCGGAGGCGGTGGTGGTGGTGGAGGAGGATATGGACACGGCGGAGTCATCACGAAGGGATCAGGCAAAAACTAGAAAAAACATGCAGCTTTCTTTAGGTCGTCGAAGGAAGGAGGAAGAAATAAGGATGTACTTTAGCATCTTGATCATGTTTAGGAGTTTGTAATGGCATCACTTTTAATGGAATAAGAACCTTATAGTTTCAGAATTGGTCGTAAAAGTTTCTCTGTCTTTTCTTGGGTTCAAACATCCGAGCAGATTCTATTGTATAAGCAATACAATAGCGTTGATCTTGACATCTGAGGCTCCTTTTCCACCACAGCAATCACATCCTTCACAGAAATTGACTGGACTAGTTTTGGTAAACCTTGGTTCTTCCCAAATTGTGTACCACCTACAAAAAGTTCGAATATGCAATTAGGAGCACTAAACACAAGAATAACCAGCAACAGAACTGAGATTTACTTTTTCAGATCATAGAAACGGGCTTACCAATTTCACCAGAAAGTTTCTTGGAGTTTCTTCCCGGCCCTGGAGAAGATCTCTGATGTGCTTCAGCCATAAGTTTCCATTTTGAAAACCTATCATCTCCTCCAACGGCGGCATGAACAGCAACATTTGCAGCCTTGGCTCTCTTTTTATCTTCGTCCTTCTTATTTGCCTGACTTGTAATCAATAAACCTCTTTCAGTGTACGTATGTGTATATCTCCAAAGGTTTATGTAATTGGCTCAAGTTCTAAATACCTTCGGTTCTTTTGAACGTTGGTCTTCTTTTTCGGTTTCATTTTCTTCGTTCTACATCAAAGAATATTAAAAAAACAAGACATTATTACTGGTAACTAACACAAATAGATATTAAGCGCAGGACAAACCATAACCTTATCTTCTCCAGCACGTTTCTTTTCCCATTCCTCTTTCACCTTCTGATTCATTTCATTAATTTCTTTCCGGATATCAGATGTGATAAAAGTCCGATTTCTACACTTCTCGGCATCAGTCCGCTGCAAAAGCTCATGTAAAGATTTAGGCACGATAAGATCTAAGCAGGCATGAGAAGAGAAAAGTAGACTGACCTGCTTTGATATTCGTATTATATTAGACAATAGTCCTCGCATCCTCTCCTCCACACACTGAATGCGCAAAGCCATGAGATAGAAGAAAACAAGACGAAGAAATTGAAGGCTAATAATTCCGAAAAACTGTTGACATCTCACCAGAGATAAGCACCGCTCGACATCATGGTCTATATGCTTTAAACCACTTTTTGCCACTGCCATATATGGAAAGCATATATAAGCTTCTTCTCCAAGTGATTCCAAGTAAAAATCAAAGAAGCAGCTAAGAATGGGTTGAAACCCAACTAATTTCTGTCAGCTTTCTCTTCAGTAGAATTTTCTGCAAAATCGTTCTTTCCTCCTCTTCATGCACAATTCTTCGACATGCTTTAGAAACACCACCGTTATTTTTAGGACCAGAACCTAATAATCGTTTTTCCTCTTCCTAGAACAGATTCAGAAAGTAATTTGGTTAATCGTTTCTCTATATCCAGGTTCAAAATGAAAAGTGTAGCAACCAGAAAACATACCCTGAGATTAATGCCACTGACTGCAGTGACATCATTAAACTTTTCAATACTTTCATCTGAAGAAGTCTCACATAGTTTTTGCCTCTTTCTGTAAATTAACACATGCTATAAGACTTCAATTTAGCAATTATAAATTGCAAAAAGTTAAAAAGGATATTATCAAAAAGACAAAAACTAAAACAAATAAGGAAGAGTCATTTATGGACGCTGTTAATAGTTCATCTTTCACAAACCAGCCAGCTCATTTACCTTGATGGTGGCAGCGAAGAACCTAGTGCCTCAAGAGGTTTCTTCTGACCAACAGAAGGCATTTTGGGTGTCACCGTAACATCAGCAATCTTGGGAATGGTCTTAGATGGGGCAGGCAAATTAACCTGATGTGTATACAAATAACTTTCAAGTAAGATAGATAGTGTATTTACTCTCCACAACCAAATTTTGAAGCCAGTACAAGGACAAACAGAAGCCAGGGTGGTCCAAAATATAAGCAAAACGAAACCAAATGCAACATCGGTTGAAGATAAATGGTCCACCTATGAGCTTAAAGAGAAGATCAACCAAATTGAAATCTGTCTTTTGAAAGTATTAAGTTACCATCGTGCTAGAGTCCAGCTGTGTTGTCATTGAAGGAGAAACAGAGCTGGCAAAGGTGGTAGATGTGGATAAAACCATTTTAGAAGACTGCTTCTCTAAGTCATCATATGAACTAATTAAAATAGCGTTGTTCTGTTTCAGTGGAACATTAGTCACGCCATGCTGCACCAAAGAACGAGGCTTCTGTGCCTGTTCAAAACTTTGATCATTCAATTTATGCTCCACATGGATCACTGATGAAGAAGGGCCCACTGTATGGTCCTTGGTGACTGATCCTTGCCAAGGAGCAGAGTATAGAGGCAAGGATGAGTTCTTTTGGAAGTCATATATAGGACCATCCTGAACCCTACTTGGACCATTTACTGTCGTCATGTTTACTGTAGACTTGGTCGGTCCTCCAACACTGGCTGGTCCCGCATTCTGATTGTTTTCCATGTGCTGGAAATGAGGAAGCTTTGCTCTCGATGATAAACCAGGAGAAGTGACATTTGTCCCTGGGTATGGATTAAGACTTCCAAAATTGGTATCCATATGAAAAGAACTTGATGGAAGCTGCATGTGTATCTCGGGATGCTTATTTAATCCCTGCGCAGTAGCTGAACTGCTTAAGGTGCCTGAATTTGTAGAAGGCAGTTGGTTAATATGAACTTCACAAGGGTCAGATTGTTGAGCAATGATTTCTGCAGTTAAAGATTGTATCTGGAATTAGTTTTTTATACTACAAGGAAATCATAAGATAAGATCTACCTGAAATTTAAGATGATCTATGATGTTTGCAAAAGAAAATGGCAGCTGAATAATTTATACCAGCAGATTTAGACACTTTGTCATGGTTTGGGCGTCCAGGTACTTTGATCCCCATATTTCCCTGTTTACAAATATAGTTCATATGAAACCAGTAAGCCACAATTCCAAGACAAGAAGTATTCAGCTTGTACTATGCCACTCAATACTACCTTTGGTCAATGACTCAGTATTGCAGCACTTTTAAAGTGAGAATTCTTTATGTTATTTTCTTTTTGGTAGGGTTCAGAAGTGAGATTTCTTTGTTCATATAAAACGCTTTTCATTATGATTCAAGTCCAGTTAAGGGTCTATCACTGAAAAATAATGGGCCAGATGCAACAGAAATCATATTTCTAGGGTTCCTAGCACTAGTTTCACTTTACTTACAATGTTGACAAAATCTGGAAGAATAATTTAAGACCATTATAACAGTTCCATACTGGTTGAGGAGAGAATTCAATTTTCTGAATATCTCTCTGAAGCACCATATATATCAAATGAATGACTCAAATAACAACAACCTTGCCTTAACTCTTACATATGATAACAAATTACTGTATAAGGAAAATCTTTCAAGAGAAGTATATGCGCAAAAGATCTCTTAACTGAAGCATCATCAGTTACCCATGTAAAGACGAATGCTAGGTGCTTAGAAGCTAATTATATTTAGAAAAACTAAGTCTACTCGGAGGCAGCTATATGAAAATCATTGAAGTACTTATAAATGCTAAGAAACTTGAAAGGGTAATACCTGTTTTGACTGATGCAGTTGGCTAATTAGCGATCTGGTTATCCGATCACCTACGACATCTTTCAGTTGTTGCATGAACTCTTGTATTGAAAGTTCTTTTCTCTGCAATCAAGTATGAAAAGAAACGTAATGTATTAGAGTCTTGGATCAGAAAAACAATTCATTCATGGATGTAAACTGTAAATCCCCACCTTGACTTTATAATACAGGGTAAGACAACGCATCTGTATAACTTTGTCGGGCTGGTGGTGGTCGACCAAGATACGAAGCAAATCACAAACTCGTGCTAGTGTAAGACCATGATTCACGGGGTCAACAGGCTGTTCCACCCCAAGAGCCTGTTGGCTACTCATCTTCTGCAGTTTCATATACCGAGGTTGCGGTCTTTCTGATTCATTACCAATAGGATTGTTTATAGACTTCGATGGGTTATAAAACTAATTCAATATCCCAAGTGAGCAGAAAGGGATAATCAGTTCAAGAAAAAAGCAGCATCGTGTTGACAATTGCGGTGAAAAAAGAAGATAATCGAGCACCAAAATCAATTATGAGTAATGCTCTAAATCTTTTTATATGACTAACCACCACTAAAGCATCATCAAGAACTAACAATCTAATTGCATCCATCAACATTCAACAGTTAACATCAAGTGAAACATGCCGATACATAACAAACCACAAAAATACTATCTTTATGATATTCGTGCACCTAAATCACTCAAGAAATCTAAAGACATTTCCCTTTTGATACATTCCACAGTTTCGCATATGAATTAGGGTTCAAAACGAACCTTCAATATCTCGAATCAGAGCGTCCTGAAACACTTTCAAGTCATATTCCGAATGCTTAGAGTCAACCTAACGACACAATTAGCAGGAATCAAAATTAAGATGTTTCGAAACCTAACCTCATCGTCTTCTTCGAGGAGCTTGACAATGGAGAGATCCATGGAGGAATCTCGCGGTACCAACGTCAAGAGCTCAAAACAAAGAGGGAATTTTCAACGAAACGATTTGTTGCATCTAAGATTCCAAATTGCGCAAGTTTTGTTTGTTTATATAGAGGGATTTGCTATGAGAAACACCGTGTCGTTTTCGCTTTTGGTTGAAACACTGCGCGGCGTTCCGTTGATTTTTGGGTAATATGGCTTCCCCCCATCATTTTGAGGGTAATTGAGCTTATTTTGTATTTATAAAAGGTAAAAAACATCATTAGGTATCAAAATTTAATTTTTGCATATAATATTGAAGTTTATGAACAGTTATCACTTTATTCATATTAGCATAACACGTTTATGAATCATCATCATGACCATCCAAATTAAAGAATCTCTACGATAAGTTGAAGTTAAACGACCCGTCAAGAAAGGCTTTTCAATTGAAACCATTAAGGTTTTTTTTGCAAAAGAAAAGAATGTTGAGCTTTTTTTGGCAGTCTTCCGTAAGAAAAAGTCACATCTTTTTATTTGTTTAGAGCTTTCCAAAATGTGATAACGGACCATATGTTGATGGTCGTAGAAACTATAAGGTTCTTGATTATGCTCTTATTGTTTAGAAGTATATGATTATAAATTTTTAAAACAGAGTTGTAGTGGACCTAGTGGTATCATCACTTTATGCTTATTCAGATAAAAACTCAACGCGTTTGTAAAATATGTGGTAAAGAATCGGTTGAATAATTTTTAAAATGAAAGAACAAGAACAAGAACTGGAATCAGTCAAAGTCCAATTTGGTATGTACAGTCAACAAATTCCTACACAACTCTCGACAGTATACAAACGAAAAAACAAATCTTATCGTCTAAGTAATTTCCTTAAAGTTGAAGTTTGACCGGAAAGTCAAACCGGGCCTTCTTCGCCGGCATAGGGCTCATGACTTCGTCGTCTCCGTTGACCGTCGAGAATTCAGGGATCGGAGGGATATTAAGGTCAAATCCACGGTGGCTGCTGCTGACGTGGCTAGTGGACCCCGCACCTTCGGAGTTGGACACGCTACTAGTGTTGTTGTTGTTTCCTTCGTAGTGGCACCGCTTGTGTCCGCCGAGAGCTTGACCGGAAGGAAAAGACTTGTTACAGATCGTACAAACATGTGATTTCCCACTTCCAGTAGTCACGGCGGATGTGGTTGTCGCCGACGACGTCGACTGATCATCTCCTCCTCCGCCGGAGTGAGTCTGTGATAAGTTTTTACGGTGGCTTGCCTTGTGACCACCGAGAGCTTGGTAAGACGAGAAACTCTTGTCGCAGACGCTACACTTGTAGCTCAACTTCTCTACCGCTGGAGGAGGAGGAGGCTGACGGTTGTCGCGAGCGAGAAGCATGAGGCAAAAAGCTAGATACTCCTCCTCGGTGAGGTTTTGGTGGTGGAAATCGGATCTTGATCTCTTAGATCGCTTTCCCTTGGTCCAGTGCTCGACTCCATGGAAGACTGAAGAATCTTCGAACAAAGGAGGAATCGGAGAAGCTAATCTTGGTGAAGTAAGAGCCTCGAGCGCCATTAAGTTAAAGATTCTGAAGATTTTTGCCTCTGTAGTATTAATTAGTTTGAAGGTTGTTTGTGAATTGGAGTGAATAAAATGTGAAGAATTGTTGAAGAAGAAGTAATGAAAGAGTGTATAAATATATAGTAGTAGGTGGAGTGTGGAGAAGGAAGTTGCGTGACAAGTGGTAGGAAAGTGTGAAGAGTGAAGGTGGCGATTAGATAATTACTTTATTTTCCTGATTTTTCTAAAAACTCTTTTAAATATGCGGACCAAAGTTGTGTTGAAAGTATCTAGATGTTTTTTTTGGGGTAAAGAAAGGAAAATAATTAGGGCACGTTTGGTTTGACCTAGTACACGTGTGCAAGTGGTGTGAGTAAAAAGAAGAAGAGGTCGGCTATAAGACTTTTCCTTCATTACTACTAGTGATGCCGCCTTACAAATATATTCTAGAGTTTATGTGGTTTATGGTCGTTGTCATGGATGGTACACGTTTCGGTTTACTTTAAGAAGATAGATAGTTGTAACTTATAACAACTAACCAGTTGACAAAAAAAGAAAGAACGTCTTATAACAACTAGTAACCAATATTGATTTGGAAAGCATCTTCGGAAATGTCTATACACAAGATTCATTTCGAAACGTGTTTTTTTTTGCTTCTTATTTTTACATTAAAGTAATTGAGCCGCTTGATTAGGTGATATAAAGTTGGCTATTTCGGACTTTTTGTGTCTAGAAAAACAATGGTTCGACCGTAAAATAAATTCTAACAGCCTTAAAGGAAAATATTCCAATGATATTTATTTGCGTTGGGTATGATTAAAGAGAGGAATAAGAATCTAAATGAGGAAATGTATACCATTCAAAGCTTTTGAACAGTTATTCATATTGAAAAGGTGGAGGTAATAAGGACTAATAAGAGGTATGAGACAGTGCATGCTGATTATTATTAATATAAGAAGACTGTTTCAAGTTTCCAAAATCAAGTCCACAAACTAAATCCAAGGAGCCAACATTGTTCGTATTGGTACAACGAATTTATTAATATTATTATATTTGTGACAGTAAGATGTGGGAATCGAACTACATTTGACTAAAACAAAGAGCAACGACATTTGACTTCTTCACGCGGCGCTCTTCAAAGAGTAAGATGACTTCTTCACGCGGCACTCTTCAAAGTTCAAACCGTCGGTCCGGTTTACTTTTTATTTGACGCAGACAGTTAACCGGAAACAGCTAGTGTTACACCAAATATGGTGAGATAGTACTATTGCATCACACTACTGTCACTTTTTAGTGTTCCGTTGAAAAGTTTTTAGTACAAAAATTATACTATAATGATGTTTTAGTGTCCCGCTAGAAATGGCTTAAGATAATCTCAAGATGATGTTACATTTTACTTTTAAATATTTTCCGTTCTGAATTTTGTTATAGTTATTAATAATTTAAATGTAGTATATTTGAAAAGTCATAATCTAAAGGAGTTTTTGGTAACACGTTATCCCAATAAGACTATAATATTGATCTTATATAACGCGTCAAGAAATATGATATACACCCTGTTCTAAAAATCGGCCGCCTAAACGTTGATCGGGTGGGAACCGCGGTGATTTTGTCCAAATCGGTAAAAAAATCGGATAACCGATTTTTGTTTGCCTAGATTTGGACAACTGCCTAGAAGGCGCCTAGCCCAATTTTTTTTTTATATTTGTTTTTCTTTTTTTAGATTTAAAATTCAAAACGTCCCACTTATGTTCATAATTTGTATAAAATCATAAATTTGACCTTAAATTTTTGTTTTTATGTGTTTAATGCAATTTTAAAAACAATGTTATATAAATTTTTATTTATAATGGATTAATATGTTTTTAAAATATTAAATAGCCTTAAAACTAGTATATGATTAATCTCCGTTTAATCTCCGATTTTTTTGCTAGGCGCTAGACCCACCCTCACCGCCCGACTAGCGCCTAGCGATTTTTTGAACATGGGATATACATATATTAATTAAGCAATTGGATGTATCTGCTACAAACTCTTTTGGGAGGCTGCTGTAATCATGATATCTCGAAAATGAATTTACTTTCTGAATTATAAAACATGTGTGTGGATTACTAAAGTGTCGTCGTGGTATGCATCCATGTTCTGTATGGAATGGCTCCAGGTTCAAAACAGTGTGCATAATAAGACACTTTGAAAAAAAGATGAGGTATATGTGTAATAAAGGAAAACATGAAACTTGTGAGGTGGATATGTGATGCAGATAACCAAAAATGTATTTGTCGGCGTGTCATCATGCATGGCTCACGCATTGCCTTATGGATAAAGAGCTCTCTCCAGAGCCGGTCCGAACATTTGTGAGGCCCCAAGCATAAAAAAACAAGATCCCAACATTTATTAACATAATTTTTTACAAATATTTATGATAAGATTATATTTTTATGTTATAGTTTTAAATTTTACAAAAATATTTTAAACATAGTAGACAAAATAATATATCATGAAGAAAAGTAAGGTTTACACATTATTTATTGTTTGTTAAAGATAATCTCATATTTTATTGAGAGTTTTTGTGTATTTATTTGATTTTGTTATTTTTTATTCTGTTTATTCAACAAAAAATTTCTATAGGTCATATAAAATTTTATTTTAGATAGATTTTTATTTTTAACATAAATTAGATAGTATATATATTTGGTAATATCAAATTTATCTACTAATGTTAAAAATTTAAATGATAAAAATAAAATGGAAATATGTTCTTATATAGTTATAAACTTATATATATATATATATGTGGATAATTTTTCAAGTCTATAAAAATATACGTATATTAAAATTTGTGGAGTCATGGAAAATAGGGCCCTAATAACAAAGAAAAATAACTGGGGCCCTAAGCCTCCGCTTCGTTCGCTTGGCCACAAGACCGGGTCTGGCTCTCTCACACCAAACTTGTAACACATAAAAGTACGTTCAAAGACAAACTCAAAAGTGTTATCTAGTTCTCTTTTGGACTAGTTCCACTTGAAAGAAGTTTGTGTTTTTTTTTGGATAAGGGACTTAAAGTACACTACTTAATTGTGGTATCAGGCATCAGCGTAATTCAAAATAATTTTCTCAAACCCTGTAATATCGTTTTATGATATTTTATTTTACTTTTTTTGTAGATTACTGATCAGTTCTGGAAGTATAAAAGGAAAATATCTAATTTGAAAGTGAATTTGAATTATATATGCATAATGCATGTAGAGCCGAAATATTTTAGTCTGAATAAATTTAAACTGAAGGTGGCTAAAAACAGTGTACTCATATTATCATCATATATTCATATGTATACGTATAGAATTAGATCATTACTCATTTACTCATTAGTCAAAATCGGAAATGGAAAAAAATGAGAATTAGAATAAATTTCAAGTAGGGCCTTGGGTTAGAGGAGTCATTATTCTTTGGGCACTGCGCGATGGGTTTACATGTTTGGGTCCATTCTTAACATTATAACTTTTTCTTTTTTTTTTTTTGACAGCAAAATAGGTTCATCCATTCAAGCTAGAAACGGACGGTATTCTTCTGGAGAAAACCAGACCGGTAATGAAGAGCTTACATGGGAAAAGATAGAACCGCGTGATCGTGCCTTTTTTGCGAGACAGTCAGCACGGGTATTGTTACAGCGTGGGATAAAAGATAACATAAAAGAGGGAAAAAGAGGCTTCAACGAGCTAAAATCTGCTAACTCCGAAGCAAAAGCAGGCCACTCATCGGGAGTGTCTAAGACTTGAGTTAACTCCAAACAATCTGTTTCAAAGACAGCATCAAAAATAGAGAGTTTAGTAAGCGACCTCATTGCCCAAAGTAAGGATTCAAACTCCGTGTGAAGCGGGGATAAACACCGACGAAAACTCCTTAAGCCAATTTGCTGCATATTTCCATTTGACTCAACAATCCAACCAATACCACTCAGGGTACAAGACTCCACCCAAGATCCATCTATCCGGCAGATAATAGAGTCATTCGGGTGATGATCTTGTAGAACTGGTCCCGGTTGGGGATTAAGGATCGTTTCTCGGGCTCTAGCTACTCGAAAAGACTCGGCCTCCTTTAAAGCATGTTGAATCGTGTCAGAAGGATGAATATCCGTATTCTCAAAAACTTTTGAGTTGCGTGCCTTCCATATGAACCACATGATCCAGGGAAAGTTCCTTAAGGTCTCCTCTCGTCCTCCTAACTCCTTGGCATTATAACTTTATAACTTTTTCTCTTATAAAAATATTCGATTTTTTTCTTTCTCGTGAAAAATAATAGAGAATTAATTTGGTCAACTCTACCATATTTGACCAAAGGCTTTTCACTTCTACCATATCTGATAATCATTTTTCATTCATACCACATTCATGTGGTATTGTGGTATAAAAAGACAGTTTTGCCTTTAGCTGATATGGTAGATTAAGTACAATATTTAGGGACAAGTATCTGGAGACAATAACCATATTCAGGGACAATAATCAAACAAAATATATATATCAAACAAAATGAAAAGACCGTAATTAGAATTTAGGAGAACTAAAATTGAAGAACAATGAACTAAAATCGAGAGACAAAACCACCTAACATGCAAAAATAAGATGAAATTGTAGAAAGCTCAAATTTCGGAGACAATTATATGTAAACTTCTTTTTGTGTGCTCAAACAATGAATTTTGTCCCCAAAGTTTAAGCACACAAAAAGAAAGGCAAACTGATAATTTTCACGGCAATTGTAGTATGAGTGATAAATGAATCTGCAATATGGTAGAAATAAAAAGAATTGGACCAAATATGACATAGATATTAATTTTCTTAAAATAATATTTTATGTTTGTGGTGCATCAGTGTATGTGAGTCAAGTGTCAACTGTCAAGCAACTTATGCATTTTTAAGTTGTTAAATTTGTGGATAAATCATAATATTACAGCTTTCGCACATATTAAATTTTGGGGCCAACTATTAATCAAGTGCATAATTTTGGCTAATAATTTCGCTTGATCTACGATCAACTTTTTCTATTCCTAATGTTTAATAAGGTGTGATTCATCTTTTCTATCACAAACTTAATCTGGAACCAGTAACTGATCATCTAAATTAATGTTATTGATAACTAAGTTATCAATGGTGGATAACACCTCTAAAATTTCACGAGTTTTTGAGTTTAGTCCAATTTTTTTCATTTAAAAGAATCATAGACTTGCTATACGAAGATCAAGGATTTAAACACACTTTGGAACAAGTAGTTCAATTTTACTCTGCACTGCTCAAATAGAAAATTATATATTTTATAGAATCATAGTTGTGATTGTATAATCCAATTAGTTCATATACATTTA